TCGCCTTTCATTACTCACCACCGAGGGCTCGCCCCAGCCCCTTCTCTTTATTTGCAGTATTCATACGCAATTTTTAAATTTTTTTTTTTAAATGTCTGTGGTTTCTCTGCAGTATTCATACGCAATTTTTAATTTTTTTTTTTTAAATGTCTGTGGTTTCTGCAAGTAGTTCATTCATTAAGTAATAGTTGTGACTAAAATCTGTTTATTTCATAGCGTCTGTGTACTTCCTGTTCGTGTTCTACAAATCCACCCAATTAGTTTCTACCGCTTTGTGCCTTCAGGGCCTTTTGCACTTGATGGCATGAATGTACAAATATATTAAAATGATCACTCTAAATGTTGCAGATCAACACACACTCCTTCCCCTTGCCTGCTGTGTATCTCAGAGCAGCACTGCAGCAGAATAGCTCAGCCGTAGGTAATGATTTGAACACTAATCTACCGCTCCCGAGAATCGACCACAGTCGAGGCCACAATCGATGCCATACTTAATTCGAATTTCAAAAGCATTTTCTGCTCAGCGTGACCTGTCAGCGATGAGGTTTTGACGCAGTTGTGTGAAAAAAAAACCCTGTAATTTCATATTGAACCATTTGAGGGGAGCGACGCTGAGGATGGAACAGGAGAACTCATCTTCAGTCCTTCTATTTGAAGTTTGGGTTTCATTTTGTCCTTCATTCTCCATGTCCACTTCACATCCGATGCACAGCAACACCTCCAGCCTCCCTAGGCCGCAGCCAACCAGGAGCGGCGAGTGCTCGCCTCATTAAACTCCATCAGCCTCCTCTGGCATTCGACTGAGTCATCACCTGCCGTCGCTGTTTACCTCATTCATTACAGAGCAAATATCACTATTTTCCCCTGACATAACCCCATTAGTGTGTGTGTGTTTGTGAGTGCCAACCTTCGCAGAAAAAATATTTAAAAAAAAAAAATATAGCAGAAAAAATATTTTAAAAAAAATAAAATATATATATACAACATTTAAGTATAACAGATATAATAATATTAATAATACTCAATGTGTAATTCACACTATTTAAAAATGTTTTTTTTTTTTGGCTGGCCAATCAAGGTTTTGTAGATTTATGATTACCACTTCAGGTGTGCATTTCGTCACTGGCCAATAAGACGCGCCCTATTGGTTCATTTCCTTTAACTGACACGGTGTTCGTCCAATCACGGTTTGAAATCGCTCCCCACTTCCGCTTTGGGCAGCGTGCCACAGCTTGCATTTGTTTTTAAACACGGTAAAGACAAACTTTCCGTTTGTTTTTGTTTTTAAATAAAGCTTGCAAATATATAGCCACAGCTTTGGTAGCGATAGAGAAGACACGCGTCGGATGCGCACAGCAGCTGCGGCGCCTTAGACGTTCGTGGTGAAATGTGCAGGAATTGACGGTATGACGTTGTTTGCTGTTGCAGGGTTTTCGTCACCACCTGTGGCAGATGATAGTTACTCGTGGTGTCGCAGCGGTTTAAACGGCCTAATATGAAAATTTTCATTATTCAAAACGTCACGATATATTGTATGAAAAAAAATCATATATTAAGAAACAAATTAATGAAATAAGTCCTCGACTTACGTTGGAGTTCCGGTGTGACGTAACTTGGTTTTAAGTCAAAACTCACATACTGTACATAAGTACCTATGTTACTCACAGTACCCACACTAACACAAAACTGGTGACAAATGTAATCTAGGACAGGGGTGTCAAACATATGGCCCGCTTGATGCATTTCAAAAATACACAAACATTTCATGTTCAAGAACGTTTTTGTAAAATTATACTTCATAAAATATGAGGATTTATCTAATATACTTTTTTTGTGTAAAAACAAAGGCGGTAAAGACAGACTTTTTTGTTATTTTTATGGAATTATGTTATAATTGTACTAGTGCGGCGCGCTTGACATCTAATTAAGTTGTAGGAGCCAAAATGAGTTTGACACATAAAAACATCAGAAGGGTCTGACATACACCTGGGAGCCGTAATGAAGGGCAAAAAGTTCCACAAAAAAAAACCATCATAAACAAAAGAAAGTAAATGTAGCCTATTCAGTGTATGGCGAACAAACGTTGAATGTAAACAAAGCCATTGTCTGCATATAGCGCTGCGTGACAACGTATTCATTTACTATGTTGAAGACGTTAAACAAGGACCTCCTATTTTGTGAAGACGTTAAACAAGGACCTCCTATTTTGTGTTTATTAATTACTAAAACAGAAATGTTAATGTGGACATTACAGTATTAAGTAAGTACTCAACGTCAGCACTCTTCTGAAATTAAAATTAACGTATGGCTTTC